TAACGCATAGTTCCTCGTAAAATTAAGGTTTAATTTCAGTTGTGTTTTCAAAGTTTCACAAATTGCCTTCGTCGCGTTGTGAAACTTTGAAAACATGCGTGAAATTAAACCTTAATTTTACTCGCTGCATACGACTGTCTATAGTACAAATAATCCAATATTAATATGATTTTTTTAGCCAAAACAACAGATAATTACAAATAATCTCAGTTCATAAATGCACTCCTAATGAACAAATCAGTCATCACCAAAATATCAATGTCATTTTCAGTATTTAACAGTTTATACTCTATACTCTATTTAACAAGTTTAAAAACAATCTCAAAACAAGTTAATCAATTTCAAACAACCCCAAACAGGTCTGCAAATAAATATCTTACCGCTTGGATGAACAAATGTCTGGCCAAGCCAGCTTGTAAAACATGGACTGGACCCTGGACTGGACTGGACTTGTAAACTATGGACTGGACTTGTAAAACATGGACTTGTAAAACATGGACTTGTAAAACATGGACTTGTAAAACATGGACTTGTAAAACATGGACTTGTAAAACATGGACTTGTAAAACATGGACTTGTAAAACATGGACTTGTAAAACAGTATTATAGATGATATGTTTCTCCATATGTATATGTGTGACATCACCAGTGTGACATCCTCGGAATATTGATTTGTCGGTATATAGCCTGTAAAATTATTTTAAAGTATAACAACCAGCGAAGAAGTAAGCCACTATAACTACCCTGCGCAGCCACTAACGTTTCTAGTATGTAATTAAATGTATACACAAACGTTTTGCGACCGCCGACTTCTGAACTTTGATAAATAAAGTTGGTTATTGCGCGTTCTAAGTCTGTATCATACAGCGTGAAAAGATTATTTATCTCACATGTGAAAATTATCGCATTTCAATTATCGATTTTTTGTAAAAATTATCGCTTTTCAAAGACTGTTCTTTATATAATAAACAGAAAAATACACGGGTGCTTGGAAGTACCAGATTTATTTCTCGTGTTGAACATGATATCTCACTCGTTCGCTGCGCTCACTCAACTGACGCACGACCGATGTGAGATATCATGTTCAACACTCGAAACAAATCTGGTATGTCCGCGTATTATTCTCTATATAATTATTCATACACGAATCCGTGTGAAAGGCAAAGGAAGGCTTCCCTTCTATAAATGCAGTGATATTCAGTTTAGGATTTTGGCTAATCGATTACTGTACGTATATACTGTGTCTTTGCGGTGGGTAAAGAAGTGATTTTTTCGCAAAGTTATACCCCACACGTTGCGAAGACTATCGTATTGCAATTTTGCGTCTGTTCTCAATACTGATAACATGCAGTGCTGTGTTCACAATGTTCGGTAGTTTTAAGGTTCCTAAGCTAACGCAAAAGCAAAATAATAAACCTGATTTACCAAAATTTGAGTGGGCGAAGGTAATAAAACAGAAAAAGCTTGGATCTGGTAGTTTTGGTTCGGTGCATCTGGCAAAATATGTCCAAAACGCTACCAGTCAACGGGATGTCGTTGTCAAAAAATTGAAAAATGTATCTCTTGATTCCAAGACTCGATTTGTGAAAGAAGCAACGATTTTGAATAATGTTAAAGGACACAGAAACAACAGAATTTTTGGGACTGTGCACCGAACCATACGCAATAATGATGCAGTATTCCTGTTTCAACTTTGCCATATTTGGAGCTGATAGTAGCGTCAGTTCCCTTGCAGATTTTCTTCAGTTTGTGGACACTGAATATAATTTTTTATCATTTTCTGAAGTTTTGCCAGTATGCGTGAAAGATATCGTTACTGGTCTGGACTATCTTCACAGCCATAATGTAGCGCATCGTGATTTAAAACCTGGAAACATTTTGGTCTGTAATCAACACTTGCCTAATAGCAGTGATGATACTGTTCTTGGTAAAGCTTATCAAGCTTGTCCGATTGTCTGCCGTTTAAGTGACTTTGGTCTTAGTCGGAGTGTCGACGTACAAACCAAGTCAGTTCTAACATCGAAAACAACGTCTATCAGTTGTGGTATGCCTGTGTACATGGCTCCAGAGATTCATTTGAATCAACTTGTCATGGCTGGACAAGAAGACCTCAGGCGGGCGGATATGTGGTCACTCGGTCTTGTAATGCATGCCATGCTTAATCCGGATCTCTGTAGCCCGTATAGAACTGAATTGATGCAGACTGCTTCTGTTGACCCCCAAGTGGAGCTTAGAAATATTATGGCGAAACGGCAACTGCCACAACACTCTTCAAAATATGAACAGTTGCGAATTTCAACATAATAATAATAATAATGGTATTTTAATAACACATCATCGCATGAAAATGAATTACAATCTGTTTTACAATTGATTTGAATGGGAATTACAATACTAAAAGTAACTATATTACAATATATCATTAGATTATTAAATAAGAACTTATAACTAAGAACAATTATTTGTTTAAAACACTAATCATGCTAGGGAAAAAACTATTACCAAATCTATCAGTTCTACATTTAAAAGAAGCGAATTGTTTAAAATTCCTTAAATTATACACATGTTCGTTCTCACTGGTGAGAGTTAGATGGGAAGAAAGACGACTGCCCCGAATGCAATATTTTTCATCGTCTTTTCGCAAAGTTCATCTCGACGTATATCCAGCCTAGGACACTGCAACATTTCTTGCGCTTCACCGTAGGATCGACCTGGCAGTATAATCCTCAGTGCACGTTTTTGAATTTTCTCGACTTGTTCAGACAGATACATAGGTAGACCACAATGCCATACTGTACAACAATATTCTAATGTAGATCTAATCAATGCATAATAAATTGTGATAAGGTCGTGCGGTGGAATCCCTCCCCGTCGTAGGACACGTAGGATATGCAGTCGCTTGGATGCTTTGGTAACAATCATCGAAATATGTTCATTCCACTTAAGGTCATCCTGGATAATCAATCCAAGAACCTTGTGCGACGATACACATTCTAAGATCTGGTCTTCAACACACAAGTGTGGTAGTTCAGGTTTGTTCCGAAAGAAACAAATTTGCATCTCTTTGCATTTCTTTGTGTTCAATTTCATCAGGTTATTAGATGCCCATGTAGCTATAGAAGTTAAATCGGACTGGATTACAGACGGTTCCCCATTCCTTAATAATCCCTCAGAGATAGTAACATCATCAACGAATTTCCAATTGCCAGACCTCCCCGACCCGCATTGTAAATCATTGACCATAATTAAGAACAGGATCGGACCCAACTTTGTACCTTGGGGGACACCGGCTGTAACAGGAAGCCAACAAGAAACAGCTTCCGCAAGTTTGACCCGCTGTCTTCGCCCTGATAGAAAGTTTACGATCCATGGTATTAACGATCGCCTAACGCCAATATCAACAACTTTTTGGATAAGAATGTTATGGCCAATACGATCGAAGGCCTTTGAAAAATCCAAAAAGCATATGCGAAGAAAATGACCAGTTGAATCTAAATGAGAAAGCCAACAATGCAACATGTCGAGCAAGCAATAGGTCGTGGATGAACCCTTTAAAGAACCGAACTGTTGTACGTCAATATTATTCCTAACGTCAGAGATCATCCATCTAACGACAAAATCTTCGAGAACTTTAGAAAGGCATGGCGTTAGTGAAATGGGTCTTGTGTCACCCTCGTCAGTTGGTTGTTTAACTTTTGGAATGGGAGTAATATGTGAGTCTTTCCATATATTTGGAACAATCCCGGATGAAAGTGACATATTGAAGATTTTCGCAACTGGTTCAGCGAAAAGGTGCGCAAATTCCTTCAAAAGGCGACCTGGAATATTATCAGGACCACATGTTTTGGAGGCATTAACGACCAATAATTTCTCACAGAAATTGGCAACTAGAAGATATTTTTCTGTCCTGTGCAGATTTTAATCCCATGTCAAGGCCATCCACTACACAGTTGCTTTGCTGTATTCGTGAGAATTTGGAGGAATATTTCAACCGTATCCCTTTGTCAGTTAGCCAAAGTACTGTCTTGGAGCAATTCGATACCCTTGTCGCTGCAGGTTTGTACCATTCTACGGAGCAACCTATATTTTCACTTCCAGAAAAAGACGCGACAAACAGTTGTGCGTTTCTTTCCCTTGGAATTTGCGATCGACTTCTACACGATCAAGAAACTTTGCAGCAGAATGCGTTGGAAAAAGTTCGCGAAATAGCCGAGGATGTAATATGTAATCTTCCTTATAATGTAAATAAGCATCGAAATGTTGACCAATTTTATGACGTCGCAGAAGCTTATTCCGTTATGTCAGATAACGGCATGCTTTCGAAAAAGTACGAAATTTTTGAGTCATGCGTTTCAGCCAATACCGTATTTTCATCGGGCGGAAGGGATGAGTTGATGGCCGCCTTAACCTCAAAGATTGCCCAAGGGAAAACGTCGGTCGGAATCTACACCTGTAGTCCATACATTTTCACGATTGGGGTTTGCAATGATGCTCTTCTTGTCGTCGACACACACCCAGTAAACCACGAGCTTGGAGGAAATGGCAATGGTCTTTTGCTGATGACTCCCGATTTAAGCCCTCGGTCGTGTAAAATGGTTGTTCAGTGGATTATAAAGCGTTTGAAAATGGCTGGAATAGAAGAAAACATGAGACAAAGCATGACCTGGCTGAATCCGTATAAAGGTTGGTTTTCTATACACACTTTCGTTGATTATGTCATATTATACTTATCAGTTATCTGGTCCACTGACTTACAGTAGCCTGATAGCCTCGTTTTCAAAGCCATGCAATTGGCTCACAATTAATCAAAAACAGGTCGTTTTTGTATATCAGGCTAAAAAAATATGTGGGTTTCCAGTTTCCCGACCCTACCTAGCTTTTGGACATTCCGACCCTATTTTTTGGATTATGCTTGTAAGTGTTTCAAATTAGAGGAAAACATTTGTGGAAAATGGAAATTTGAGGCAATATTAGGAAAATTTATCTTTGGATGTGGAAGCCCTGACTAAACAAACATTGGCGTCCGGTTGTTGGTTAGGAAACTAAAAAAAGTTAAAATCGACCTACCCCTGCCTCGTACACACGTAAAAACGCACAACTTGTAACAAACCTGCAGCAGACTTGTAGCAAGTCTGCACCAACAACTTGTCAACAGGATGTCTTCGCACTGGTTGTTCCAAGCTTGTTGTGACGGACTTGTTACGGCTTGTTGACGGACTTGTAGCAAGGTTGTTGTGACAGGGCCGTAACAAGGTTGTTGGCAACAGGTTTGTAGCAAGCTTGTCAACAACTTGTCACAAGTTTGTTGACACAAAGCTGTAGCAAGCTTGTCAAAATCAGTCCGTAACAAGCTTGAATCAACAAGCTTGTTACAAACATGGCGGCTCGTAAAAATTCCCGCGCTTTCCTGAAAAACACGCGTGTGAATTTCACTCGCGTGTTTTCCAGGGTGGTGAAGACAAATATATAAAACAACAGGCAACAAAACTTTGCTTCATGTGTGAAATTCATATTATTTTGAAAGAAGATAACAAAGATTAATAAATAAATACAAACTACAGAGTCAAAGTACACAGGTAAGACTTCCATACTTTACAATATGCATTAATGTGTATTTTCCAAGTATAATCTTACTGTATAAATACAAAACTTTCGTTGGTTGGAATGCAACTTTGTATATACCTGAAAAAAGGGCCTTCGTCGCTCGAAACATCGAATTTTCCTTATATTTTTCAGGTACGACCGTGAGGCGTGCTTAATGAAAAATAGTGCTATTAAGTTACGGGTTTAGTTACCTAATTTCCATAGGTCTATATAAGGCCATGGGAATGAAAGTCATAGATTTGCGTCCACCGCCCGCATGCCTCAAAAGCTACCGCCTAAAATTTTCATTATTTACAAAAAAATTCATTATTTTCACAAATAAAGCAAAACTCAATAACATTAGCAATAAAATTGTGTATTGATTACAATAAAATGAACATATTGCAGTGTGTTTGTCCTCAGTATCCACATTCTATGAAATTCCAAATTATATTCACCGAAATGGCGAAATTGGCACACAGATCTTCAGTACTGCTGCAACTGCGTGAGCTCGAGATATATGTAATTCCGTGGCGTAAACGGTAATTCGTGTTTTGATCTCTGTATTTACCACCCAAAAGGATGGTAAAAAAATAATGAATAATGAATAATGAAAAAAACCCGCATGTTTTTTCAAAATTATCCGGACGCAAATCTATGACTTTCATTCCCATGGCCTAAAGTTGAATTCCAACCAATGAAAGCTTTGTAAAGCCTTTGGCTTTGTTTATATTGGCACAACCAACACTGGTGCAGATAGTACACTCTTTGTTCTTGCCTTGTTTTATACAGGCATTCAAATTTTAGACCTACCGCTCTTTTCACTCATAATGAAAACTTTCTAACTAAAGGTCAACAGTTCACACCATTTTCATACACTACAGAGTACATATATTTTACTGAACTGTAGCAATGCATCAAACTATTTTTCAGTTATCAATTTATAGTTTTTCTGCACAATGTCCCTACAATCTACATGTCTGGAATGCCTGGGATGTACTTCCATGATTCTCCAAGATAAAAACGATTAAGTAAATAATATTTGTTGGATAGATCATGTTGATAAACACACCTTTCTGATGTGACAATTTCCCTCTCTTCCACAATTGGATGGTCTGTATTGACGAAAGAACATCTGTTGTCACAATTGTGGACCAGGCTAACTTTTTCTAAGATGTTTTTTGTGCTTATCAATCTTCTTTCCTCACATTTTTGCAGCACTGGTGATGTGAATTTTCCATGTAGAACATCACCATCATCTGCCCTCATTAGTTGATATGGGATTGTAAGCACCCAGTTTCCTCCATGACAAAATCCCACAGCTGTACAAAACATTCCGAAGCAGATCTAAAATGAATGGTATGTATAGGTTGTTATAATAATAATGGTAACGTACATTGTATTAAGCATGTAATAACTAATGATAATCACCAATACATGCTGCATATTGTGTGCACTGAAGCTTATTGATAATCACAAAACACATTGGCAATATCAAATAGGAATGGCAAGAAGTGATTGTTGGTGAGAAATTTTAAGAAAATTTATTGTTGATTTCAGGTCACTTTTTACGTCACTTTTTAAAGCACGATTCCCACGTTTGTTGTGAATATTCCCAAGTTTGTTGTGAATATTCCAAATTACATTTTCTAAATTTGGAATATTGGACCTGAAAATTGGCAAGCCAACTTTGAAAGTTGTTTACTAACTAAAGTACCAAACTACTGAACATAAACTCATAATTTACAGTGTTTTACTAATATGGGCCACACATTTGACAAGTTATTTATTAAAGCTTTTAAGAAATATGTTTAATTCGTTTAAGAGTTTATGTTCAGTACTTCGGTACTTTAGTTCAGTACTTTGGTACTTTAGCTCAGTACTTTGGTACTTTAGCAAGCAACTTGTGATGTTGTCTTTGCCAAAAAACCAGTTTCATGCTATTCTGACAATTGATGCAATCAACCAACGAAAAATTTGTTGGTTCGAGTGGGATTTGAACTTGCATCTTTGGGTATCTACAATAGACTGTTGCTCTACCCATTGAGCTATCGAGTCAGCAGGGATTGGTAGTGAGTCTTATCCAATTTAATTGCACGAAATATTTTCGTGACGGCTGGACATGGACTTCAATTGGATAAGACTCTTATAAGACTAAAATTATATAAAATCCAGTAGATGCCCGAAAATGTGAGTTTCGTTGCTTGATTGCATTGATCAGTGAGAATAATATGAAACTGGTTTTTCATATCACTGATGATGATTCTGAAATGAAATTGGCTTTGCCAGTTCCACACACAATTTTCCAAATTTAGTAACATAATTTGGAATGTTCACAACAGACTTGGGAACCACGCTTTGAAAAGTGATCTGAAAAAAAAATAAAGCTCGTAGTATGAAAGTACAGTAGCATCAAAACATTGATCGAAGTAAAGCTCAACATTTAATATTTAGCTTTTCATTGAGAGAAATCCATGTGGATTAAAGAAAGTTTGTTTACTATCCCTAAACTTAAATTCTGGCAATAATATTCCAAAAAATTTGAACTACTGCAAGCTCTTTGAAACATAGTAACATATTAGGGCCATCTATATGGGACAAAATAAGTCGCCACTAACATATTAAAGACATAAACTTGACATATAAATGGTATGAAATCTAGCTTGGTCTTGTCTAAGATGCAACTTGGATATTAAGAACATGGATTTTAATTGTTCTTATTATGGTTGCATCTTCGATAAGCCACAAACCCATTGTTATGTATAAATGGCTTTGCATCCAGCATAAGGAGGTCACTGGCAAGGAAAACAACAACAACAACAGCTTACAGCACTACACAATACCAAAATCAAATCCAAACCAACTCTACATACAGTACATTTGCATCTTAGGTAAGACATGCTCGTATATGAATGGTAAAACTCACGTCTTATGTAAGTCGCAACTTATTTTGATTCGTTTAAATGGCCCAATTGAAATGAACATAATTAGCAAATAAAATTGAAATGATTTAATGACAATGGTGAAACAGTTGAATTGAAATGTGCCTCATTAACTGAAAACAAACTGTAGCCCTGTTCTTGAAATTACAGTGTGCAGATATGTACATGGCCAAAGATAAATTGGGTCGTTCCAGAAAAGATCCATACTCCCCCCACAGAGGAAATTTCTGCCGTCCGGAGGGGGAGGGGAGAAAAAATTGTTTCTGATAATAGTAAATGTATGGAATGACCCATTAATACCTCATCATTGTAACTTTTATAGGCAAACGTTTCTCCTTCCTGGACAAGTGTCTTGTCTTGTGCAATACAGCCTTTAAATCCCTTACATGTCTGTTCAATGTTAATATGCTGTCTTTCGATGTCATGTTGAAGAGCACCAATAGGTAAAACATCAACAGTTGTCAATTGTTTGAGCCTTCCATTTTGATATGTTTCCTAGAATGTTAAGATGTTATGTTTTAACATGTTTAGTCCTACTGTAGAAAGGCAGATTAGGGTTTAATGCCAAAGCCATTGAAACTGACCTGCTATACAGGTTAAAGGTCGCTGTTAATTCTATTGTAATCATGAGTTATTGATTAAATATAATCAACAACCCGGTAATGCGCTTGAGAGACTCTCCCTTAACAAGTAAACTCATCTGGTTTTAGACAGAGTAATAATTAAACAACCTTGTACCCAGGGCGTTTTCTCAGGGAGCAAAATAACCTGGTATGGACTGATGACGTCAGTACGTCATTCCCACATTTTGGGTAAAATAGCTTATTTCCTTACTACAAAATATGCTATTTTACCCAGAATATGGGGGTGGTATCATCAGTCCATACCAGGTATTTTGATCCTCGAGAAAATACCCTGGGTACGAGGTTGAATAAAAATAAAAGTATGGTGCATTCGAGCGCGCTGCAGCTAGTCAGTATTGATTACTTACAAGTCTAAGATTTCCAGGTTGGTAGATTTCTTTTTGAGATTGACTGCAATTAGAATCAACCTGGTACATGAACTTTTGGATTACTGGTTGCTGGCTCAGTTTAATTAGTCCTTGGGAAGCAAACGTTCTATAATTAAAGTTCACAATATCAGGATCCGAGGATGATATCCATCAGAAATGATGGAATGGAATCTTGCCATAATGATTATAATAATAATAATATTAATAATAATAATAATAATAATAATAAAAGCATTTATTTTAACACGATAATTTTACAGCCTAGCTGATGTGGTTGTGTAACTAAGTAACAAATTGCACGAAAACATGACTATAGAGTAACTGTTCACTAAAGCATAATTGTTCACATAAAAACACATAACAAACACTTACAATACTGCTTGGTGGCCAGATAGTGGTGTTGCAACTAACCTCTATATTTAGTATATTGTACTGTATATATTACCTGTTGTTAATACCCCAGCGCCCTCCATTTGTTACAAATTTTAGAATATGGTGTTTGAGCAATCTCTCTCCGATATCCTTACTGCTTGCATGGCGATTTGAATATACATTAAGGGTTCTGATGACAGAATTAAATGCTTCAAATCTATAAAAGAGGTTTAAATAGTTATACATACTGTATTAAGTACAACAATAATATATTCCAGCACATTTTGTCGTTATAGATCTTTCCGATGATTACGTCACAAATACAGTACATGGAAGCGAGGCTGAGGGGCCCAGCAATAAGGCACGTATTATAACAGCCTATATTGCTGTGCCCTCAGCCTCGCTTCCATGTACTGTAGTTGTGACGTAATTACCGGAAAGGTCTATTAATTTAGAGTTATAGAAGTTAAAAGTCACCTTTCTGTGTTAAAACCAGCTGGTGGGCCAAACTTCATCATGTCATCCTGTATATGTAATAACATGTGAAACTTTTGCTTTTGCAGGAGCTCTGGGTGAACTTCGCTCAGGCATTCCATCATCTCTTGAATGAGATTTGTTGTATTGTCATTGTCGTCAATGTCAACTTCTGAGCCATACGCCATTGCAAATGTCTAAAGTGAGAAGAAATACTGTGCAAGTTCTCACATTAATAAATTATATAAGTTACAGAAAAGGCCTGCTCGTGTAATAACAGGATCCAGTTACGACATACGATCAACTAACATTTTTGAAACCTTAAACTGGAGACCTATAAAAGACAACTTAGACGAGCGCGACCTTGTAATGATATTTAAGGCCCTTAAAGGTCTAGTGCCCGACTACCTAATGCAGACAATTAACTTGAACGAAAACGGCAACTATCAATTACGTAGCAACAATAGAAATATTTACCTACCTAAGCCAAAGACAAATTTTCTAAAAAATAGCTTTCCCTATCGAGGAGCTGTGAGTTGGAATAACCTACCTATAATCATATTATTGATCAAGCATTAATAGAAAATGTCTCTGTCAACTCCTTTAAGAATGTCATAAAACGTATGTCCTAATCCATTGGTCCTAATCTATAGTGTAATCAATTGCATCCATGTAAATAGTTTATGTAAGTGGCCTGTTTTTCTCGCTTTTAGATTTCCTTTTTTTTCTTTTTTTTTTTCTCTCCAATTATGTAAATATTTTAATGAACTCACGGCCCTTTGAAAAACAGATGTACTTCTGAAAGGCTACCGTGATTAAATAAGATTAAATAATAAAATAATAATAATAATAAATTTTAAGGTAAATTTGAATATTACTTTGGATAACGTTTGAAGAACTGTAACTAGTTGTTCGGAATCCATTAGGTTGCAGTAGTTATGGATATCAAGAAGGTTTAAACTTGAAAATGTACAAACCAAAACATCAGGTTAAACTTTTACCCGGTTCCCGGTTTCTGTTTACTTGATCATAATTGACTGATAACACCTCGGCCTTGATGATTCTGACCACAAAAACTACATCCGATAACTGTTTGATAACATGTATTACTGTATTATATTTTCTGTGTTGGTGTAATGTACACAGCCACAGGTGAATAAGATGCTTGTGTGATGTTACTCTGAACTGTGTATATCAACACTGGGCAAGCTTGAAAAATGTGCCTGGCCACGGTGGGAATTGAACCTACGACCTTTGGAATACTAGCCCAGTGCTCTGCCAACTGAGCTACTGTACGCGGTCAGGTCGGTTCAAGTGGTAGGGCTCAGAGTAACATATATGTATAATTCCAAATAAGTTTTCTACTTACTTCACTTAGATATATCCATACTTGAAGTTCTTCGTCAGAGATTAATCCTTCGAGGACGAAAACAGATATCTGGGCCCAGAGTTTAAAGTCGCGGCCAACGCAGGAGCCATGGTTTTTAACGAAACTACTCGGTAAACGTCTAGAAAACGCTGAAAAGTCGAATGCCTCGATCTTGGATTTAACTTTTTTCTTGTCTGCAGGACTTAAGTTGTTAAACGTTTTCTTAACAAGGTACTTAACAGGACCAAGAAGAATTGTGTGTAGAATCTCCACCGGTGTCTGCCTACATATTAAAAACAAGTTGTACACGATTATTTGTACAGGGTATATAAAAAAAGCTTTGACATGTCATCGTTCTTAATTAATTAATTAATTAATTAATTAATTAATTAATACATTGATCTATTTTCTTTTCCGTATGTATATAAAGACATCCTCTTAGCTAGTAAAATTGCGAGCACTTGACGCTTAACACACATGCGTTGAGCCATATTTTTTTATAGCAATGATACAAGAAAGGTATAGTATTTGACAGCTAGAAGCCTGAACTTTATTGGTATTAGAAACGTAAATGGACAAACGTAATGCACGATAACATACCAAACTTGGATTACCTTACCTTTTTTTATATAACCTATAGAATAAGTACTATATATAATTACCGAACGCGTATGGAAAGAACATAACCTCACAACCAATGTCTTGTTATACCTAGATTAGTCTCAAAATTGCCCTCACTATTCAAAGTGCTATAATGTTCCCATATACGTAATGTCTTAGACCCCGTTTAAACGGTACCGGACGAATTTGGGATCCCCTAACAGGACGAATTCGCGTGTAAACAGGCGAAAAAGGACGAATTTCAGACCGGTCCCAAGTTCGACGGTACCGTGTAAACGGAGTCTTAGTATAACGCTCGCGTGTGCGTCTCTCATCATAATAATACCGCTTACTTTATGGCTTCAAAACTTGATAATATATCGAACTGTCCTCCCCGCTCGGTGTTTCCTGTGGACCGTCTTATTTCTTTCTTCTGCCTTTCAGTGCTATTGATTAAAGAAATAAATACTGTAACATTAAGCATGTCACTATACATTTGTTGTTACAATCGTTAAACATGGTGAGAGCAGTCTCGGTCGCCGATATAAGGATGAAATCAGCATGCAGAATTACAAACAAAGTTACCTTGCCGTATTTATCCGTTCGATTGTTCTTTGTATGGCATCGGTTGTTCGTAAAGTTCCTACTTCGGCTCCTGTTTCTTTTGTTGCCTGTTTAAATAAGCATTAAAAACTCATTAATAATTCATGAAGAGCCTTGATTTTCCTAGCCTGCGGGCAGCCCCATACCACGTAAGCTTACGTGGTATGGGGCTGCCCGCAGGCTATGATTTTCCCGGCGTAGATAACTTTGTTTTAAAAATGACTTCGACAATCTACTCGTCAGATGGCTCGTTTTTTAAGCCATCTAAGTTTTAAATAGTACTTAAAATGCTGCATTTATTATATACTGTATTAAAATTATTATATGTAGATTTATTTGGATTTATGATCTACTGATTGTAAATCTAGTTGTATTAGCGTCCTTGTCCATGCAGTTCGCTACAGACTTTCGAATCCATTTTTAATAATAACGGTTTTGCTTAAAAGGAGATAGGAAATTATGCGTTTCTATAAATTTAAACATACATCACATGTCCGACAGAAATGAGTAGCAGAACTCCCCATATGGTGCGCGAATTCCGATGCTCTTGGGTTATCACAAGCCACGAGTAATACAGGGCATTGGACGAAAACCTGCTGGTCATCCTTAGCGTCATACATCAACATGCCTTCTTCAAGATCTGAAAAGAACATTAAAACTGCTTGGTACTCTACGTCGTGCCAAATTAGTTTATATACCTATTTCAATCTATCATTTCTTCTTTTCCTAGAAAGAGACATTTACAGTACATACTCTTTAGATCTGTTGCTATTTCTTTTCCCAATGTAACTGAATCCACCAAGTTCGAGGCGCAAATGAAATGGATGTTGCTGAACTTTGTAACATCTTTTCTCGGAAGGCCTGCAAGAAACATCGAATACGATTCCAGCTGATTCCACTTCTTACTCCTGTTTCCGCTGGTCTCGTCCGAGAATACTACTAGTGGAACTGTTAATGTCGGTTTTCCGTCTGCAAGGATCTTAGTACCATGTGGACGTTCTAATTCTTCTTTTTCCTTGGAATTAATTAATAGGAGAGTGTTATTTAATACTTTACGGTTACCAAATGCGATTGTATGCCATTTAACTATTCGTGCATGCTATCTCGAACCTTCATTGGATAACTTTTAAATTTTGGATGTCATTGAGAAAATTTGGTATAAAACAAAAAATGTTACTTTGAAAAGTTTGATGTTCGTACTCAAATAATCGTATATTTTGCACTGAAGGATTTACCTCGACAGTAAGTTGAAGAATTTGTCCATCAATTTCTTTGAATTCGATTTTATACTCGGATTCCCCTTGTATATCTTCTAACGAAACTTCTTCTACCTCCTGAGTTACGGCCAAAGAATGAAATTCCACACTTGTTACTATCATTTTCGTTAGGCGGCAGAAATATTTTAAAGAATCTTCAACTTTCTATTAAGTAACGAAGAAATGCCATTTTGGCATAATTTTGCCTTTTGGAACATGTTTGATACATACGTATTACTGTGTATTGTAACATTGTTGAAATATAATCAAATTTAAACCTTCATATAGAATCCATTTATTTGTCCATGACATATCGTCTCTTCAAGCTTATAGCGTACCAAATCTTTGACATAAAATGTCTCTCCATTGACACTTGCAGAGGTTGTTTGAAATTGATCCTCGATTCGCCACTGTAATCCCTGGAATATATAAAGTCGGGCAGATAAGTAGCTTCATTAGCACAAAAAGCAAATTTGCGCGGATATGGTATTGATCATAGGCGTACCGGGCCTATCTCTGAATGGAAAACTTTTGCCCGAAAATGTGCGAAAATTCAGCCACTAATCAATATTTCCCAAAGATGGGGGGGGGGGCATCTAAACAAATTTTCCTGACATGCCAATTTGCAAACTTTTTCCAGACAACAATTTGCAGCAGTTAAGCATGTCAAATTTTTGGGGACATAATATTTTCTTCCCGAATTTTGAGGGGGCTGCAGCCCCCAGGCTCGTACGCGTATGGTATTTATGTGGTGCATGTATTTATGTGGTGCATAGAAAAACTAAAGTGTATAGACACCAGTAACCTCTAACTTCGTGTTAACCGCGCATACAAATACAATAGGAAGAGACTGGAACTGACGTCCAACAGCTCCTTCAATTTCCGTCATCTTGGCCAATCTCGTTCCCCGAGCCTGCGATCCTTGGGAAGGAAACGAAGGCTCTGGGATAATCCGTTACCGGAAGCCAAGAATCCTGGCTAAGATTGAACTACGCATTCCGTTTCAATGGCCAATCAGATTCCTCCCTCAAACGGATTATCCCAGAGCCTTCGTTTCCTTCCCAAGGATCGCAGGCTCGGGGAACGAGATTGCATCTTGGCAAGGATAGACACCAAGCCATTCTCGTACCCAGAGTCCTTCATACGCGCGGTCAACGGAGCGCTTACACTAAACTAAGGATCAGATCTAACATATGTTTTTAACTTACTTGAAAAAGCTCATTGATGAATCGATCTGTTTTTTCGGGATATCTGGCCAAACGATTTGAAACTGATGGTGTCGCCAGTTGCAATTTAATTATGTCAGAAGGTGAGATCCAATAAAATGGATGTCCATTTCCGTAACTCTAGTATAGATAAATAATTTTTGAAATTGTAAACGCCGTTTATTAGGAATGCGCACCCCCGGTTTCCAAAAGCTTCAGAAAGATTCGTCGATATAGGTTGCCTGTGAAGGCCTGTGAATGGGCTAAATTAGCTTACCTTTCGTAATGAGATGTTTTCCAAACCTTCCACTTTAAAAGATAGGACAGAAGAAAGTGATGGCAGCTTCACCCCAAAACGATCCAACATCATCCAAAGAAATTCCAAGTCTGATCTTGACTAAATAAAATTTATATAATGATTCATAAACTACTCACGCTAATTCTCATAAATGCAATGGAATCAACAAATGACAGAACAATATAAATAATTTCTAAAATGACGTCATCATAACAGTGATGTTATCTATTTGTGATAAATCATAAATAGTCAACTCTCATAATATTTATTTTTTTAAATCGCCAAAACTTAAATGTGGTAAACCTGAAAGTGTATATCAATGACGCTTTCCATGCAATGGTTACTTCTCGCAAAATTCAAAATTGACGAGAGACTAATATTTGCTGTGATGAAATGCATTTAGTAATTCACGCTGTTCTTACCTTTGGCCTCATAACACTGTGCGCGTAACAATACAGCAAAAAGAACTTCTCGCTTGGAAAAGGAGAGAAGTCCCCATCAGCATTTTCATCCATGGCAAGAAATTGCTTTTGCTCGGCATTGAAAAATGCATCTCTCGTGTTATCGCTTATTTAACTCTCTTCATCTGATGAAGTCGCATCATCAAAAAACCATTGTTCGTCGTTTTCGTCCTCAGTCATTATTTCAGAATCCTGCTCGACCTGCTCCGTTACTTCACTCCCGCTCATCATTGGTGCATTTTTAATAGCCAGCAACCTTTGAATATGGTTGCGGGAGTTGAAATGTCGTGCTGAACTTTCCTGCGACTCAAAGCTTTTCTCGCAGTCCATACATATTGCAACTGCACTCCTTCTTCTCTTCATTATCACAATGCAAAATTAGTTATAACAATCGATTAACAATGCATATTTGTCTCCATTTCAAAGCACATCACAGTCGGCCAACTTTTGCAAAAAAATACTTAGCATTATTTCCGTTAATTTTTGCATAAACTTTTAAATGAAGAAGTGATTTGCTATTGGCGCATATATTTATTTTCTGAACGTTTGCTTCCTTATTTGGAAAATTAATTAAAAATACAGGCTGCTGATTGGCTGTAGACTGAACACCATTAATCTTTTGTTCAAATTTTTTTCCCGCTCTAACTTTTCAAGTGCAAGACAACTTTTTCAGTGCGCGAACTCTTTGTATTGAATTAAACTGAACAGAAATGTTTCGTTCTCATGCACATTTCCGAAGGCACGAAATGGTTGATGAAGATGCAGAAACGCAGGAAGATGAGTGAGTCATAATTTTAATGTTAATTAATTAAAAACGCCTCCACTCCCAACTGAATGTCTCGTTTTTTTGTTAATTCATTGCTTGTATTATATTTATTAGCTTTAATAGCTTATTCAGTCGTCATTCAGCACAGACTTCACCAAGCTCCCGTAATTCAGCACAGACTTCAACAATCTCCCGTAATTCAGCACAGACTTCAACAATCTCCCGTAATTCAGCACAGACTTCACAAGCGCCCGTAATTCAGCACAAACTTCAACAAGCTCCCGAAATTCAGCACAGACTTCAACAAGCACCCGTCCGCACTTAACCATTGGTAAGTAGTTTCCTTTTTTCACAACTACGACTCCCTTTTTCAAGAATTAGTCGTCCGAGTCGTCTTTCAATAGTCCCTTTATCATTCAATTTATAGGCCATTTAGGACCGTCAAGAGAAGATACGACGCGGGCTAACTCGTCTGGTCTGTCAGGTTGGTTTGTATTTTAATTAATATATTATACCCAAAACAATTTACAATTGGTTGGGGATTATTAAAACTGAATTATTTGGTTGGGGATTAATAAAACTGAATTAATTCCGCCAGTTATCAGTCACCTTGCCCAACCCCTTATTACCTTGTTATTGCTCTGTTGTCCTCCCATATCCCTTACAAAATTAAAATGGCTTCTTGTTGATGTTGTTTTCTTTCCCAGATACAAATAATAGAAGGGCTACTTATTTGTTGCTGCTGCTTTCTTATTTTGCTTATTTATTAATTGTTTAGTGTGTTATATTTTAGCGATATTTTAAACTTGACGGTGATACGTATCCTGTCTTTCATTTCTAGAAAATGCAGAGCGTGTTTTGACGAACTTGCAAAAAGAAGTGGCCTCGTTAAAAAGAGCTGTGACGACCATGAATGACGTTCAGCAAGAAATTTTGGCATGTGTCAAAAAGATAAAAATGGGAGTCGAATCGGACAAATTCGATTTAGCGAACTGTTGCCATACCGTAAGTGCATTGTATGAAATGTTGCGAAATGTGCAATTGCTCATTCTATAACAGCAATAATAAATCTTTATTTATATCCAATTTGGTTAAAGTTGTATCTTGAGTTCAAAATTATTATATCTTAAATTTAGGAAAACATAATTCAGCTGCTGGGAAAATATTATTCCTCAAAAGGGAAATTCCCTTTGGACTTTCCAGAAAAACAGGTGATAAAAGTCGTATTATGCATTTTGCTCCAATTCTTGGGTTTCACTACGACATTATGCAGTGAATCTGATGGGGGTCAACCCAAATGTATTGATGGGGTCAACCTCTAATTGGGTCAACCTCAATTGATGTATCTTCTGGATCTTCTGGGGTCAACCTCAAATGTATTGATGCTTTATATGCTGTACTGGAGTGAGAAAATTATAGGACATTCCATGTACTGGCCACCTAACACAAGGCTAACACACACACACACCAAACAATTGACTCACTCTGATAACTGTGTTTTGTTTTAGAGTTACCCATCACCTCTGTAATGTCATATGAAACCCAATAATTAAATGTTGTAATGAAGACGTAGTCACTATTTATAGTCACATACTGTAAGGTTGTGATAAACATGCAAATGGAAATGCTTTAGCAGTCAGTTTGGCTTGCCAGTATGCAGTATCTGCATTACTATCCTTTTTGTATCCTAATACTAAATCCCACTTTAATTGCCTACTTTAGCGAGCTTTGAAATTGGAATTCACAGGGTCACCAACGGGCCTCACCTGTGAAGAGTTACTGCTTCGTTACAAGAAGTTTGAAAATGCGAAAATGTCTTACTGGAGGAGCGAAGAAAGGAGAAGGGTAAGATTGAATTCATGGTATGACTTAATGCATGGTTCATGGACTCCCCTGGAACCAGACTCTCAACAAAATTATCCCCCCCCCCAGGAAAAGGATTGGGTGGTACAGGGGGAACTGAACCTGTAAATCCAAGTGACGCATTCTTCACTGGGAGAAAATTGCAGTTGAATCATAACATGTAGCTGATTGAGACTGCAAGAATTCGGATATATACATTATCAAGCTTTCAAATGACAAAATGTTGTGTAGTATTAAGTGAAAATTAAGTTAAAATTAATTTGTGCTTTATTATAGCTTCTTGGAATTGCTGGATATGATGCATTACTCACTGCGCCTACTGACGTCATGACAGACAAAATTCTGCATTTAATTGGGCAAAAGCATAGCAGTGGCTGTCATAAGATTCATCTAACTAATGAAATAATTGTTGCAGTAAGTGACATATATTGAATGTACTGTGATTTAACACTCCTCGTAATTAAGCTATAGTTGCTGTCCAGACAAAATAATTACCAGCATCGTTTGCTGCTGTACTTTGCCTCAGCATTTTTTTTTCAAAATAATATAAAAAAATATATTTTTTTGAGGATGGTTTAAAATTTTAACAAAAGTGAAAAATGAACAATATGTGCTTTCTATTTATATATAAAAAACAATTTATTTTTCAAGTTATAGCTTTTATTTAAAAGCTGTAAACATGCTCTGGGAATCTAAACCAGAAACCATTACTGGTACTGTATGCAGGTTTCAAACATGCACACTTTTTTAATATTGTATAAATTCTAAATATCAAATTGAGGTGAATTGTTGACCCAATGCCAATGAATTTGAATGTTGACAAATGCCGTAATATGATGTCCAGTGCCCTAATATGATGACCTGTGCTTATAAATTGGTTGAAAAAAAAATAGCAACTACCCCTTAGTCACTCAAGAAATAAATATATATTCACCATGTTGGATAAATTTGAATTATAATCCTTGTTCAAATTCATCCAACATGGTGGATATGATAATTTGAAAACTAAATATTACTTGTTCACCACAACAATCTGAATAATTTTTTGATAGCGCAAATATATTCGAGAAATTACCGTACAGAGAGCCCGCAAACAAAAGGAGTTTTGGCAAGGCCTCTATGCATGGAAAACAACCAAGTGGCCAAATGGCATTCCTCAAGAAGACTGGCTTGATATAAGAAGAGATGACTTAGCATGCTACCAAGAAGAAGAATGATTAATACTATTAATTAGGGCGGACCTTTGGGAGTCTTGAGAGTAGGGCAACGTTTTATATAGAAAACACAAAAAAGATAAAACATTCAAAACAAAAAGTTCTTTTCTCTGAATTATTAGCTGCATGAATTGTTTTCCCACATGTCATGATTTCTCTTTTTATGTTTTTTTTGGAAATTGTCACACACACCCCGCCTAAGATTTCTAATGGTCTGCTTTAACCACCTGTATATTATTTGCAGTTTACTTTATTTATTAATAATTATGGTTGTTGTTCATAATGATTGAGGGCAAGCCACTCCTTATATAAGGATTTGTACAAGTTTTATAAATCAATTAAAGTAATTTTTATTGTTACGTTTTTACAGCATGAAGTTATAATAAATGTATATTAAATTTGGATGTGAAGAGTTTGACTCAAATCCTTTGTTTATTTGTTGCCATTTTGTGACTGTTCACATATTTCGGGATATTGAAAATTATGTTAAAAAAAAGGAAAAGGAAATGCAAATGTATACAATTCGAAAATCATCCAAAAAATGGGTTTTTTCTTGATACATGTTGCCTGATATTAACAATGCCGTTACAAGCTGTTGGCAGACTTGGTACAAGGTTGTTGGAACAGACTTGTCACAACTTGATGACCACAACAACTTGTAACAAGGTTGTTCCAACAAGTCTGATTTGACTTGTTGTTAACAAGCTTGTTACAAGTTGTTCCAACAAGCTTGCTACAAGTCGGCAAACCAACAAGTTGTAGCAAGGTTGTTGACAACAAGCTTGCTACAACTTGATAAAATAACAAGCTTGTTACAACTTGTTAACAAGCTTGTTACAAGCTTGTTCAGCCAACAACTTGTCAACAAGTTGTGAGATTTTTACGTGTGTACCCAGGCGCTTTGGTTTATTTACGTCATTAATTAAGCGCACGTGGGACGGCACGCAAGGGAAAAACCCCGAAAAAATTCAAATTAATCCGCACGGCCCACGCAAAGGCCACGCAAGCCATAGAAAAACACATAGCGCCTGGATACTAGGCAGATTTACCCTACCTCAGTTTTTGCAAGAAGAAATAGGAAACCCACTTTTTTTTGCCTCACCTGGACTGCCCTTAAATCCTATGCATTAAATTGTTGTTGCAAACCTAATTGTTAAGTTAGCTTTTCCTCTATCTAATAAAATATATTTGAGTATAATTGTAATAGCTTCACTCGGCTTCAGAGTTGTTAAGAATCAAACTGGAGTAATTTTTTCGGAACACCCGGTAGTCATTTGAAACCCCAGCTCCCCGACCCCCGGGACTATGTGGGGATTTTAACATTTCACGAACGTTAAAACCCGGCTCAAAAATACCATTCAGTTGTTAAAATACTTAAAAATTCGTCTCCCCGGGACGAAATTGAAGGTTTTATGTTCAATTTCCTCTGATTTTCACAGTAGAAATTAGAAAATAAAGAAATATTGAATATAAGAGAAGATCGTCTGAAAGTTATCTTTAATGTCACCTCGCCATAGAAACGCGTGATATATCAATTAGTTCCCAGATTCCACGTGCGCTGGTGCGCGCGTTAAAATGGTGATTAAAACTTGGTCGTTAAAACCCGGCACATGTGCCCCGCTGCTTCTTTATTTATTTATTTATTTATTGTGCTTCGCTTCCAAACATTATACAACAATTGCATTAAAGAAGCTGGGACACCACAACAGCTTAACACCAATTACAGTGGGCCCTTTACAAAATATCAATATAAATATAGAAAACAGAAATAATTAACAATTTATTGCCGAAGGCCAGGTGATTATCGGTGAGTAGGGACAGAGACAAAGTCGAAGTTTTCATTTAACAATAACCACCAAGTGTGAGGCGAATAATCGTTTTAGTATAATTTCATAGGTGATTGTTTGGGAAAAAAAAATAAAAATACACATTAATACACATTATTATTTTCTTACTAGTGTTAAAACCCCGGCCACTAGAAAGTCGATGTTTGTTAAAATCCTGTATTTCTCCCGCTAAATCCTGTTAAAACCCCGCTTAGGGGCCGATTACATGAAGAACTTTCAACCCCAGGGTTGAACTCAGCCCGGTTAACCGGGTTGAAACTTTTTGCGATTACATGGACGATTTCAATCCCAGGGTTGAAACGTTATACTATACGTTCTCGGCATCGATTCCCGAAAGTAAAAAAGCCTTTATTTTGTTTTCTTGTAATAAATAGTCACTACCAGGTATGCTCGAATAACTCGTGATAATTTCAGCCCTGGGTTGAAACATTACATTACAAAATGTTCAACCCAGGGCTGAGTTCAACCCCGGGGTTGAAAATGCTCCATGTAATCCATATCGGCCCCTTAGACCCGGGGGTCGGGGTTTCAAATGACTAGTGCATAACGTTCGCATGTAACTTATTTTTCGAATATGCATCACTAAAGTTTATCTGAAATAGGCCCGCAAATCGACAATGTTCCATTTCAGATAGTAATCTGCCTGAAGTACAGAACCTAGCGGAACATTGCCGGAAAGAAAGTATGATTGAAAATAGTACTCGCCAGGAAAATGAGCAACTTCATGATGTGCGAAACGTTGCTGACGATGCCAATGAAGACCCTGCTGAGGTGAGATATTTTGAACAAATATATGTTTATAATAGTTTTGTTTGTGGAAACACCACGTAAATTTATTACCTCAAAGCTTTCGATCCGTAAGCCCGGATCTTTATCAGTGCTAATATTAAATATGTGACTTGTATAATTCACACGCCCTTTTTATATACAAGAGTAAAGCTTTGCAGTAATAAATTTACGTGGTGTTTCCACAAACAAAACTATGATATGTTTTATCACCATGCAAACATACAAAGAAATACATGTTTCTCGTGAGAATTAGATAAATTATGCATTTGTAAGTAAATTTGATTGCGGCCGTCCTACACGATGTTTGAGACAGCAGCCAAAATTTCAAATTAACAGGAACCCCAAAAATTAGGGTAAGCTTAGTTTGATAGACGGTCTTACAGTTGAACACTTGCTGTTGCTATGGCAACCGTATGACGTCATTAGTCATTAAGTCTAGAACTGGTGTTATATTGTCTTCTTGGTCTTCTTTCGTAAGTTCAATAAATTACTCCCTTCTCCATAGCATTCAAATGTTCAAGTACCTTGTTCAAGTATCTTTTCCGACTCTTCCTTCCTACATTTCATCTCACTATCATGTACTGTACATACCACCGCCATTGATCTAACATCTAACAGGTAAGGCGACGTCTTCATTGCTTGGATTTGGACTGACTCCTCCATGTATATCAGTGGTACCGTGGCAGGGGGGGGGGCAGGGGGCCATGGCTCCCCTAAGGTTGAGAATCGTCGGAAAACTAAACAAAACTCACACGCCGCATGTCGGAATTTTCGAGGTCGAAAATTAAATAATTGCATCTTCGTAATTTATTTAATTTAAACTGCTCGAAACGTAGCACATAATAAATGATTTATAATCTTTCGTAGAATCGTTTGAATTTTTAAGTAAAAGAAAAAGAAGATTATAGTTTGAAGGAAGGTGAAAGTTTTAGAAAGAAAATTTAAGTTTATTCAATTTATCCATTTTTACCTGCCATTCTAGTCGAACGTGAATGAAGGAATGACTTCGAAAAAGAAACATTCGGCAATTTCTCCGACCAGGAACAAGTTACACAAAACTCAAGAGGTATAAAAATTTAATATTAATACTAAGCAGTTCCACTAGTTCCAAGTTAGATCAGTGTATAATGCTTAGCCTTTTCTCTATTGGTATTGGTTATACAGATTGATATTACCCTACAATTAATACCAAGATACTCAATTTCCATGCACGTACTAATAGGGCTAGGGGCTATACTATATACGTTTCTCCTTTTTGCCAATGTTTTGAATACGTACACGGGACAGCATTTGGGAAGGTATGGGGGACATCAGTTGATCTACGAATATTGTTAAAGGTTTTTTAGATGTGTGGATATAAGGGTATTAACTACATACAATTTCTAACGGCTGCGAAAAGTGCAAAACTTTGATCCATATAATTTGGTTATTAAATTTGCCGAGCATGGTTCATGCATGAAAACTGATATAATTTTTTATGAATTTTTAGAACATATCGAAGAACATGATGGGCTGCGGAAAAGGCTTAAAAATACGCTTGAAACTGATGGTCTTGAGGTTTTATGTGTTGTGCCTAGTACACAAGCTATGAACACCGACGTGGATGATGTGATATTTGTAAAGGAAGAACGATGC